AACTATTTCTGTCTGTGTATCTTTTTGTAACTTAAGGTTTTGCCTAGAGGGGTTCTCTATGTTTTTGAATCTAATTACCCTGTAAGATATCTACCATCCTGATTTTACAGGGGGGATTTCTTTATTTCTATTTACTTCTATTTTTTATTAAAAGTCTTCTTGTAAAAAACTGAATGCTTTTTCATTGTTCTCAGATCCAAGGGTTTGGGTCTGTGGTCACCTATGCAAATTGGTGAGGCTTTTTATCCAACATTTCCCAGGAAAGGGGGGGTGCAAGTGTTGGGAGGATTGTTCATTGTTCTTAAGATCCAAGGGTCTGGGTCTGTAGTCACCTAGGCAAATTGGTGAGGCTTTTTACCAAACCTTGTCCAGGAAGTGGGGTGCAGGGTTTTGGGAAGTATTTTGGGGGGAAAGACGCGTCCAAACAGCTCTTCCCCAGTAACCAGTATTAGTTTGGTGGTGGTAGCGGCCAGTCCAAGGACAACGGGGGGAATATTTTGTACCTTGGGGAAGTTTTGACCTAAGCTGGTAAAGATAAGCTTAGGAGGTTTTTTCATGCAGGTCCCCACATCTGTACCCTAGAGTTCAGAGTGGGGGAGGAACCTTGACACCCCTTTTCCCAGATCATTTATGAATATGTTAATTTGGACTGGTCCAAGTACAGACCCCTGGGGGACACCACTATTTACCACTCTCCAATCTGAAAACTGCCCATTTATTCCTATCCTTTGTTTCCTATCTTTTAACCGAAAAGAAAAGGAGTACTTGTGGCACCTTAGAGACTAACCAATTTATTTGAGCATAAGCTTTCGTGAGCTACTCAAATAAATTGGTTAGTCTCTAAGGTGCCACAAGTACTCCTTTTCTTTTTGCGAATACAGACTAACACGGCTGTTACTCTGAAACCTATCTTTTAACCAGTTACTGATCCATGAGAGGACCTTCCGTCTTATCCCATGACAGCTGACTTTGCTTAAGAGCCTTTGGTGTGGAACCTTGTCAAAGGCTTTCTGAAAATCTAAGTATACTATACTCCCTGGATCACCCTTGTTCACATGCTTTTTGACCACCTCAAAAAATGCTAATGGATTGGTGAGGCATGATTTCCGTTTACAAAAACCATGTTGACTCTTCCCCAACAAATTATGTTCATCTATGTGTCCGACAGTTTTGTTCTTTATTATAGTTTCAACCAGTTTGCCCTGTACTGAAGTCAGGCTTACTGGTTTGTAATTGCCAGAATCACCTCTGGAGCCCTTTTTAAAAATTGGCATCTAGATTCACACTACTTTAATTGAGAACAGAATTTGGCCTAGTAAGTGTAAATTTTCAATCAACAAAAAGGATTAGCTTAAAAAAAACCTAGCCTTTCGATTTCATTGTTGCAGTTAACCATTTAATTTGATGGTGTTTTAATTGTAACATACTGAATTGAATGGAATTTCCAGTTGCTTTTTTCTCAGGGATTTGTATATGAAAATTGATGCTTATAGTCCATTCCTCTCAGGTATTTCAGTTTATTTGTAAGTAATATTTCTTCTTTTATAATCTGTTCTTGTTTACACAAGGTAAATAGCAACCACTCAGTGCGATGAGACAAAGTAACTCTGTACCATCTTACAGAATAAAAGGAAGTATTAAGAAACATTACCAAGAGGCAGGGGAGAAGGAAAAATAATATTAATTGAAAAGGATTTCAACTTCTGTGTACATCTCATAAAGATTCCTTGTGGTAGAACCTGAATTCATCAGCAACATTATTTTCTTTCCTATCCATGTGACCATAAAAGAGAGGAAGAACAACAGGGGAGCTTTAAGATGTTTTACTATTGTATTTTAAAGTTGCTTCATCTTAACTGTGAATAAATCCATTACTGTCTTTAGGATGCAGTAGGTACTTAAAATGTGTAAAGGATTCTGTAAAACTGCCAGATTTAGCCCAATGACTGATGGTCAGGCAGGCAGGTCAGTTTGAAAATGGTGCTATTGAGGAAAAAAATAAGTATTTTTAGAAATACAGCAATTTAATTTGTGTTTGTGACAGAGAAAGTATACACATACACACACATACACATTCTTTTTGTTGCCAAATTTTGAAGGGTTTTATGTGTTCAGATAATTAACATAATATAACATATGCATAAAATATAGTATAGAAAATTATAAGAACGTTTGTATACTGCAGGTGAGACAACAAAAACACTTATTTTTTTATTATACCCAGGACATGTATATATCTCTTTATCACCCTCTTCCCTAGGTTTCCTCTAAAAAAGCTTTTACCTTTCCTATTCTTAGCCAACCCTAGTCCCAACCACAGGTACTAGAACTACAGAGCCTGGGAGGGCTGCCGCACCCCCTGGCTTGAAGTGGTTTCCAGGGTTTACAGTTTGTTTCAATGGCTCTCAGCACCCCCCACCCCCCCAAAAAAAATGTTCCAGCACCCTTTGTCCAAACTGAAATTTATATATTGTTCTTTTCTTTTTTACAAATGCTATATAGTGAAAATCATCTTTATGACTTAGCGATCCTGAATTGAAATGTTACCACTGATCACAGTTATGCTAGGAAACTGGAAGACTAGCTGGATTAAGGACATTTTTGCTATCTGGCTTTATTACAGTTACAGTGTTTGACATTTTGATGCTATATGAAAACCAAATTTACCTGTGAAAACCTGCAGGGAAATTACAAAATACCTGTACATATGGGTTTAAAGTAAAATAGCCTTTTAAAGAAATGTACCAGCAAACTCATTGTTTTTCTCTTTCTCTCTATTTATGTGTGTGAGAGAGACAGCAAGAGAATAATAGTACCAGAAAGCATGTCACCATATAAATAACTGTATCTACAATAGCTAAAAATGCTATGTTCAAGAATTTCTTGAATTTAATGGAAAAATATTCCTACTCTCACCAGTGAGTATTAGTTATTCAGTAGATGAAAGGAATACAGTAAACTTCACATGCTACCTCAGTATCATTCTCAGAAGTAATGATGAGGCCGCTGGAAAGTGTTGAAAGCCTGGAGGATCTATTCCATTTCAGAGGTTGCTTATCAGATGATGCTGCATAGACGATTTTTTAAATTCTAATTTTGTTTTATCTACTCAAGGATTCTATAAACAACCTCCCACATTTTAAATTTTTATTTATAACATACCGTTTTGCGGTATCAGTGTCTCCATTTACATATGGATTGTTTCAGATTCTCATATAATCTTGGCAATGAATTGTAGTTACATTCCCTGTGTTTCTTTATAATTATCTGCTTCTAAGATATAATCAGTTATTCAGTTTATGTCCTTTAAAAGGACACAGCCAAACTATTTTTATTTAATTATATAAAACATTTAACATTTAATATAAAATAAATCTGTGGGACATATACATTATAAAATCAAAAATACCAACCCAAGAATTTAAGAGAAGGAGAAAGGAAAGGAGAAGATCATTTAACTATTATGTTATGGCGTCCTGCTGTAATCTCATCTGAAGAGTAGAAACTTCACATTCCTTCACAGCACAACTGTGCATATGGCAGTTGTTGACAAAATTAGGTTGTGTATTCCATTCAGACAAAGGCCATCCCTGGTAACATCCCCATTACAGTCATCAGTAGCACTTCTATTTTCCCCTCACTCCATCTCCAAATCCACCCTTCCTTTTTAAAATTTTTTAAAGCTTCATTTCAGGAACAGAAACTTTGTTTGATTCACCCTTTAAAAAGCAAGATATAGGTAACAGACATATAAGGGTGAGGAGGGTGGATCTTTTGCTGGAAAAGCACTCTTCAAGTCAGTGGGGGTGAACTTTGACAAAGGGAGATTTGGCAAGTTTCTTTCTTTTTCTTATTATCTCATTGTTATCGGATTACCCTTCTTTTGGATTACACCCGATTGGGAAAAAGCGTCTAGTATCAACCAGATTTATGTTGTCTTTAACTGGTCTCTTCACAGTTTCGTGAAAGCAGGGAAATGAAATGTTAGTGTTATGTCTCGAAGAATTTTGATTTTTTTTTACAGACTTGTTTTAAGAAATGAAACACAAAACGTACAAACGTTCTGAGTTTCAGTAGCAAAGTGTTTACTTGCTCTGTGTTATGGGTAGCACCACACAGATCGGAAAATATTGTAAAAGATTCCCGCAGAGGTCAGAGAAATAAGAGAAACCATCAAGGCGGAATGTTCTGATGAGTGGTTTCGACTTGTCCAGCTTTTTCTCAACAAACCTTCCCTTCCTCTTGGGCGATGCTCATTGTGGCACGGATGCCGCGATCGAAGGGGTTTTTAAATGATCACGTTATTGGGTGGGGGGTGTTCTCCACCCCCCCCCCCCGCTTCCTTGGTCGGGGCTTGTTTAAAACTCTTGCAAACGCGCTATTTCACGGTGATCAGTAAAACACACTGCGTTCATCACCCACTCCGAGCGGTGCCCACTCTGGGGAACTAATTTGGTGGCGGCCGCGGGGATGCTGCAGGAAAGATAATTAAGGAAGTTAGCAGGCGAGGGAGGGTCTAAAGAGTCAGTGCCCTGAATCACTTGACTTAGAGGAACGATCAGAAAATCCCCGTCTCCTTAAAGGCTGGGGCTTGCGCAGCCAGACTCCTTTACGCTATCCTGAGAGAGCGTCTCGTCTTTTTTAACCACTACTGTTGTTTTTGCTTTATTGCAATCCCCAGCAGTAACGAGCCTGCCTAGAGCGCGGCTCCCAGTCCTGCCATGCCCTCCCCACACTCACAGCCCGGCCCCGGCTACACGCTCAACCTGCGGGGAACCCTATGCCAGCGGCAACCTGACACCTCCCCCCGCTCATTGGACAGCGCCGCCGGCCCCGCCTCCACTGCCGGGGCTGGTCGTTCCCCAGCTCAGCCTCCCCGGTCTAGCTTGCAGCTCCTCTTAGGCCGGCTGCGGCTGCCAGTCACTTTGAGGGACGGCCCGCTCTCCCGGCTCCGGCCCCGCCCCTTCCCCCCTAATTGATATTATTGGAGTGTGGAGCTCGCAGCCAGGCTGCAGTCAGAGACTCGCAGGCAGCAACTACGGTGTGCAGGAAACGCATAGGCAAGAGGAGTGGGCAGCCGGGGGAGAGAGAGCTCCATGCAAAGGCAAAATAAAACACACAGCACAACAAACCCTTTAATCCCCAACAAGCGGCGGCAATAGCAGCAGCGATCGTCCAGTAAATTTCAAAATATCCTGCTCCTCCACCATGGTTTTTCAAACTAGGCTCCCTTCTTGGATTATTTTATGCTTCCTCTGGCTGCTTCGCTTTGCACACACGGGGGAGGCACAGGCTGCAAAAGAAGGTAAGGTGATGCAGAAAACAAAGTTTGGGCTTATTTATTTCCGTGCGCACACATTGCAAGGTGCCACAAGTACTCTTTTTCTTTTTGCAATGTTTTAGTGTAGGGTCTACTGCAAACTGCATGCTGCCCTCTCCCCTCGTTAAACAGCGTCTTACTGAGGTGGGGGAGAGGCATCCACCACGGGCAGTGTGTGTGTGAATGCGTGCGTGTGTGAGAAAGAGGGAGGTCGGGACAAACTGCATATCCTTTAAGGAATTGGGTTTGCACGGCAGTGCACTTGAGGAGCTGATATATTGGGGAGGGGGTCACTGCAGGGGGTGCTGTCTATTGAATTGTTAATAGTACTAATAGTATTACTACTAGTAAGGTGAGGGTAAGAATCTCTTCCCCCCCCCCCTCGGGTGGAAGCTACTGTAGTTTGTCAGGGGCACGCAACCCGAGTGCCACAACCAGGACTGCACCGGAGTTTCACTACTCTGGGCGCACCCCCAAAGGGGTTGGGGGGGATTTCTGTTAGTCCCCCAGGCAATCATAAACTAGCTAATAAAGTCCGCTTCTCCGTTTCCTACTGATGCGGGCCTGCAGGTCTCAGAAACCTCTGGAAATGAGACGCTACGGGGAAAGATGTGTAATAGATCATGTTGGGGGACGATTAAATGTCTCCGAGGGATGGATCTATAGGATGCTATATACATGTATTATATTTGTGTATGTTATCTAGTAATCTGTAGGCATCTCTGACTAGATGTATATAGATAGAGATTTTTGTTCCATCTGCGTATCACAAACAGGGCTTCATAAATCCCATCACTCCAGCATCAATCTGTTTTGCATAAAACAAACGCATAATATTTCCTACTAAAAGAGAGCACGGGAAATTTTTCTATCGGAGACTAACATACAAACCAATTCAGAAAGTCAGTCCGGGCATTTCTTTTCGTATGGGGTGGGGGGATCTAAAAATGAGACCTTTTCACTCTGATAGTGTGGTATCAGTTTCCATCTTTGGGAAGAGAGGGCTTGGGGGTTTTCCCCTCTCCCAGATAGGTCAGTATTCGTCTCTGAACCATTGGCATAAAGGTAAAGTACCCTTCTGAGCCTGTAGCTGGAGCTTTACAACTAAGCTCTCTCTCAATTAAGATGTTCTTTGTCCCTAATAGAAGAGGGGGGGGGGGAAAAACAACAACCCAAAGGCCCTTCCTGGACGGCATTTCCAAAGTTTATTTGAAGAGATTTGCAAACTGGAATAATGAACTAACTCCTGGAAGGGCGAGAGAGGCTGCATGGGGGAGGTGAGCGGAAGCGAAGCGCAGACGGGAGCGGGGAGCTGGGCTTGGCAGCTGCTTTGTGCAGGCTGCGTGGGGAGAGCGCTTGGAGCTGTGACATGCTGCTCGACGGGCCAGAAGTCCCACGTACACCTCGAGTTTGTGTTTCCGCTTCTAGCGCCCAGCAGTTCGTGTAGGCTGAGCTGGCAGGAGGCGGGGGGGGGGGGGGAGCAGGCAGGCAGGGATTTCGGATCCCTATGGCTGTTAACCTGCTGCAGGCTCGGAAATCTCCTGCGCAAAAGTAACTTTCGTTGCCGCTGGCCCTCACCGTCTCTGGTGGTGAGAGAATCCAGCCTTCTGCAGACACCTCCTTCTCCGTCGGAAAGTAGCCAGGCAAAGGGGCTGGGGATAAGGGAGGAGAGAGCCGAGAAGTCCCCAAAGTTTTCCCAGCAGGAGCTGGATGAATAGGCGCCTCAAGAGGGAGAGAAGGGGATGGGGGTATCACTAGGGCGACGGGAGTTTGCAGGGGCAGAGGTGACCCAGCCAGGCCGGGTCTGGAAAGTTTGGAATAAAGGGATCCTGAGTGTGGGGTGAATTGAGCCTGTGTCCCGCCCGGGGTCACAGTGCACGCTGGTTTACACTGGGCCGTGAGTTCGCTCCCTTCCAGCCCGTCGCGGAGTCGCAGCGGCAAGGCTCGGAGGTTGCACACAGGTTAAACACCACCTTTGACTCAGCTCCCTCCTGCCTCCCGTGGGCTGCGGCTGCTGGGCTGGGAAAGGCTGCTTCAGCCCTAAAGCGCGTGGGGGAAGATCCTGGCCCTGTTGACGCCAAGGGGAGCCTTTGCCATTGACTTGAAGCGCGGGGGGGACGGGACGGACGGACACGATTGCGCCCTTGAGCTGGGCACGGAGATGCCCTGCCAGCGCGGACTGGCGGCATTTGAACCCCAGCGCCGAAGTGAGGGACCCGGCGGCAGTTTAGGGGGAGACCTCAGCTCCCCGGAGAACACGCGTGGGTCGGGGGTATGGAGGAGGCGAGAGGCTGCCCTTGGCTGTCCGCAAACAGCGGGCCCCTCCGGCTGGGTGCAGAGCCCGCGGGGGGAAGTCCCCAGCTCGGGGAGCGCACGGGAGCTCAGCGCAAGGGGCACCGGGGGAGTGAATGATTCAGGCCGAAAAGGGCGGATTAAAGCCTCCCATTGACTTCCCCAGCCACTTTTCACTCTCTCTCTCCCAGCTTGGTCTTGTGTCCGCTGTAACGCAGTGAACCAGGCAGTCTTGCCTTTCTTCAAAACTGGGTAGCGTTGCTAGTCAGTTTCTGCAACAAGAAGAAGTTCCGAAGCTCAGCCCCTGCTCACTTTGAGCGCTGCATACAAGAACTTCAGGGCTGCCTTGGGAAGTAAATGGAGAATGTTTCCCACCTCTTGGGGAAAGTGTCTTTATCTCAGAAACGGGACATGCTGGATCTAGACTGTAACTGTGTAGTAAAAAAGGCTGTCACCCACATAACTTTTAAAAACTAAGCCCGCACTAGGAAATTAGCAATTCATATAACATTTTACCTATTCAAGGCATTGTACAAACGTCTGATTAGGAAAGATATTTCCCAGTAAGTTCTAGTGCAGTGAGGAGTACAACATATGATCATGGAAAGGTCATCTGTGTGGCACTGGCTTTTCATACTGCTTTTTTATGAAGAATTACTGCCAGATTACAACATGGTGTGTCCATCCACTACTGCATGGGCATGGTGATGAATGGGTTAAACTTGCACCATACTTAAATTTTTAGCTTATCAGCATTGTCCTTGATTAGCAAGCCAACACACACACCATCAATTCTTCTTTAGGTAGTTTTACTAGTTAAAGACCCTTAGATAGTGAGATTAATTAATTAATTAATTAAGAAGATAATCTATGTAAAGAGAGAAGAGCAAATTTAATTGGTTAGTTTAAGTGTATGTTGGCTTACAGAAATGGAAGTTACAGTTTTGTCTTTAACATGTTTTAGCTATTCCTGTCAGCATGAACCTTTGTGAAAAAAAGTTTGATCCTTCTAATAATGTTTTAAAAAACTATTATTTGAAATTATATTTGACATGGAGTCTAAACCAAAGGTATTGCTCAACCTAACAAAAAGTTAATTATACTGAATTCAAGTTTAAGAATTAAAGCAGAAGATCAAAATATATGTAACTACTTATTCGTATACAGCCTTTTACATTGGTATTGGTAGAGGTGTAATAATTTTTTATAATTAAAATATATTTTGTGGTTATTTGAAATTGAAATGTGTTTCTCTTTTGTTAAAAATGGAACAGTTATTTGTTAAGCTGTAAATATGACTGTTTTTGTTCCAAAAATGTAGCATATATAGGCAGATATAACATATATACAGATATACCATTAGGATTTCTTTCTTTCCAGTTTACAAGATTATTTTTTAAAATGCAATCTAACAACTTATTTCATAGAGTTGCTTAGAAATTTCAAGGTTAACTAATGCAAGTGCTTTTTAGAAATTTGTGAAAACATGTGCAATAATATATTCTGAGATTTAAGACTATCATTAAATATAATCTCAAGCTGATAGTTAACAAAATATCAATATGATTTCTCCCAATATGTAATAAAGTGGACATTTTATATTTATATTTAACAATTTGTTTATTGGACTAAGATTGAGAAGTCTGCATTAAACACTTTTACCAGAAAGTCACATCTAATTAACAGCTCTGTGTATCAGAACTTTTTAGAAGTCTCATTGGATGTGTATACACATATGAAAATATTTACTTAATAAAATGTTGCACAAGAATTAATTCTAACTAATATGCGCGTTCAGTATTTTGAAAATGCATGATGCTACATAAGTACAAATCCTTATTTTGTGGAAGCTTATTTGTCATATATTGACTTATTTAAATTAAGTCTCATAAATATTAAGGAACCATCTTTCCTTGTGCATTACCCTTGACTTCAGAGTGGGGGTCCATGAAGGATGTAGTGTCCAACAGTGTCCAAATCAGTCTGGACAATGTTGAAATATTGCTGAATTTCATTTTTAAAAAAATCCTAATTTTAATGAAAAGTACATGGGAAATATCCTTTGTAAGAAGGAGCAAGAGGAACAGATATTTACGATTAAACCTTAGAATCTTTGACACTTAGATAATAAGATGGTAAGTATAAATATGTAGACAGGCATAGACAAAGATGCAGTAAAAAAATAAGATTTAAATATTTCTGCTTAATAAAAAATGTGAATATCATACCTTAAATAATATAAAAACTTTTCTAATTACAAACATGCATATAATGGTGAATATACATAATATATTTATTCCTTTATTAAATAATTTTGACTGATAAAAAGAAGACTTTATATACATTCTTGTTGAATTTCATCACAAAGTTTTTGATTTAGTTTTTTAAATTATGAAGTTCTTTCTTTAATACATAGCGGATACTTTTTCTCTTGCAGTAATATTGCTGGACTCTAAAGCACAACAGACAGAGTTGGAGTGGATTTCCTTTCCTCCTAATGGGGTAAGTACTCAGAACAAACAAACAAACAAAACAAAAAACCCATCGTCCAAACAAATTTTTAAACGTGCTTTAAACAAGCTGGTATTCCCCAAATTTCCCTCAGTAATCATAGTGAGTGTTTACAGCTCTTAAGTTTCTGTTGTGAAAAGAAGCATACCTCAGGTTACAGTGTACAAAAGCAAGCTAATTACAAGGAAGAGTCTCTTCAGTAACTCACCTAAACCCCTTTATTAGCTTTATGCTTTGTAGTGTAATCCTTTGTGGTGTACTAGAAGGCTTTGTGTACTTGTGACACAGTATTTTAAATATATTTTTCTTTTCTCTTTTTCTTTTTAGAAGCATTGTAGGCAACAAATATATTTGTATATGGAAACTGCCTCAGAGCATGTTATTGGATATTTTCCAAATAAACAGTGATAAGAACTTTATATACAATATATTTGTTGTAATTGAATAGCGTAGTATGAAGTGCTCTAAAATATAAATGTCTGAATTAGAGATAGGTCTAAACCAAAACCCAGACCTGAGCATCCCCAAATTTTAAGGAGTTTGAAATCTGGCTCTAAGTCCAAATTTTGTGGCTTGGACCTAGTTCTCATTTATATACTGCAATGCCTTTTAGAACACATGCATCCCAAGATGTTCTATGAAAACTTATCAACATGCAAATCCATCATTACACAAATGTTAAACTTAGGACATCCTATGCTAATTGTCATGTTTATTGTCTATTAATAAGTTATCAAATAGCTGTGTCTTCAGCTCTTAATTAGAAATTGTGAAAAAACATATCCCTCATCTCTTGAGGAAGAACATTTCAAGAGAGGAGAGTATGGCCAGTTGTATTTACCTTAGAACTCAATCCTACAAACCTGAAGTCATGTGAGTGGTTCTTACTCCTGGAAGCCATCTCATTGACTTTGTTGGGGCTACTCGCATGAATAAGTGCTTGCGGGATGAGGCCCTTAATCTTCAGCGCCTTATGAAATCTGGAGCCAGAAGAGCATGACGTGTAAGTGAGGATATAAAAGTGAAACAAATCCTTTAAATAAGAAGAATGAAAATCTGAAAGTGTCTTAGTTTAAAAGCAAGATCGTAAAATCAATACAAGCACAAACTGGAAAGGAGTCTGAAGACGTGAGAAACTACATAATGTGAGCCGAATGCTTAAGATTGATAATAACTTCGGCATTAGCATTTTGCATTGATTGAAGCCTTTTAATAGAGGTGTCTAAAAGATTAGTTAGAAGAGAATTGCAGTAGTCTAGCCTGGAGGTAATAAAAGTATGAGCTTTGCCAATGTATTTGAGGATGAAAGGTAGAAACATAGTTGACTAATATTGTACAAATGGTAAAAAGATGACTTTGTAAGGTTAGAAATACGGATTCAAAGGAACATTGAGAATCTAAAATAACAGCTAAACGATCGTCAGAGAGAATGGCTAAAAAGTAGTTTCTTATAAACTAACAAAAAATTACAATTTATTAATGGTGTTATTAAAAAATTAAAAATATAGTACAATTTTTTGTTAAATTCAGCTGCATTTAATTCTCCCCTATGTAGTACAAATATCATGAAAACATGCACAAATAGATGAGAGAAACCAATACATCATCGTATGCTAGTTAAATTTCAGTGGCAAATGTACTCTCTGGCTCTGAGTGGCATGAAACATGTTTTAAATAACTAAAGGAATTAACATGTAATATGGTGTAGGTATACAATATGTATTAGTGGGAGAGAACATCATGTATTTCACATATATATATATATATATCAAAACAATGGGATAAAGAGAAATAAAAGTTAAGTGTCTGAAAAGTCAAATATAGTGTTCAGATCACTCCAAGATGATTTTTTAAGCAGTAGTTTTCAAATATCGTCGACAAATACAATTATATTCCGAAGTATGTATAATGTGTGCCTGTCAAGGAGAGGAAGTTTGAACTCTTTCAGGGGAATGTTTGAGTAGTACAGCTATTACTACTAAAATTTTTCAGAGAAACCAAAAAAGAAATGCATACAAACTATCCTTATGATCTTCCCCGTGGTTTTAGAAAGATGGGTAAGGTGAGACGATGGGTGTTAGCATAAGAGATGATCTCTACTGGATTGTTTTTTTTCCATCCAAAGGAATAATCTGAGCACCTCCAAGATTAATTATATTGGTGTGGTAGGCTTTTAACACGCATGGAATCTCTGGCTCTTCTTCTGGTTTGTGTTACCCTACCCAATGCAGAGTTTTGTATTTTTATGGTTATTTTGGAGGATTTTGGGGAGGGAAGAAAGGAATGCAGATGATCAGTTGTCTGTATTCTGCTCTTTGGATACGCTTGGGTAACTCATTTGACTTCAAAGGTGTTACACTATTGTAACTTTGGAAATCTGAGAGCAGGATCTCGATCATGATGGGAAAACTGCTTACATGAGATAAAACATAAAATACTCAAAATGAAACTGAGAACGAGAGCAGCAGAATGAAACTCTCAGAGTGAACTTAGGCGCTGAGCCCTTTTTGTGAACTGTTTTTTGTACTGCAGTAATGCCAAATCCCTGCTCCATGGCCGTGTTTCTCTTTTGTTGTTGTTGTTGTTTTTTTGCTAACCTTATCAATACAGTCCATACAGGAGAAAAAAATCTTGGTGGTTAAAATCTACTAAATGTATAATGAAGATAAGCTTTCTTCCTTTCTAAAGAGTGTTAGGTTTTAAAATGTAATAATTTGTTAACTATAGAAACATTTCATAATATTTTACTATAAGCTAATACCAGATGTGTGGTGCCATATATACCATATCTATAGTAGCTGAAATACTTTGAAATGCATTTTGATATTTACAACTTCTGTCCATTTCAACACTTACAGCCATAATATATTTTGTGGTAATAACTTCCAGCATCAGTTCATCAACATTTACTTTTCTTGGCGTAGTGGAGCAACATTAAATGATCTCATTTGCTGTCAAGTAGGCTCGTGAAATATTGCATGCTGCATGACTTTTGGTCTGAGAAACCAATGTCTGTTCGTGTTTGCCTTCCCTGCCTGACTACCAGTAACAGCACATTCTTTAGGTGTTCAGTCCTGGCAGGTGCTGTGTGCTCTAGCCAATCCAATAAAGCACCTGCTTAATGTTAAGCACATGAGTAGTTTCACTGATGTTAAGCATATTGTAAAGTGCTTTGTTGAAATGGTCTGAGCACTTGGAGGGATTGAGATCTAGTTGGCTGTGTTATTAGACACCATTTAACTAATTGAACTCTTTAAAATATTCCCATTTTATTCAAGTTGTAATTTCTGCTATGAATTGAGCACTGCAATACATTTATAAAAGGTGTAAGGGCCAGATTCTGCTTTTAGTTATACCTGGGTAAATCTGGAATAAGGGTCTAACCTTAGCCCAACTGATTTCAGTGGGAGTTTTGATGTTGACTTCAGTAGGTCTGGGATTTGTTTCCAACTTTGTAAAGACAATGGAATTATTGTGCATTTACCATTTTAGCGCCTAGATACCATAGTGACTGAGAAATGAAAAAAGAAAGAAAGCAGGCCCTGAAACTTGCAGATCCTTATTCAGATGATTAGCCCTTACTCAAGTATGTAACCCCATTGACTTCAAATGAAATCCCATTATAGTGAGATAAGATTGTTTTACCATTGGTCAGTGAACCTATTCATATGAGTAGGGGTTTGCAGGATCAGGTTTGTAGTTTGTAAATGGGAGCTGAAAATGGCCCTAAATGCATAAAGTGACAAAACTTCATGATTTCTTTTTTCTCCATTTTCAGTTTGTTTTCCCTGCAAAATGTGATGATGATCACAATAATGGTAATAAACTAAAGTGTAAAAATAATAATTTCAAATGCAGAGTAAAAAGAAAAGGAGTACTAGTGGCACCTTAGAGACTAACCAATTTATTTGAGCACAAGCTTTCGTGAGTTAGTCTCTAAGGTGCCACTAGTACTCCTTTTCTTTTTGTGAATACAGACTAACACGGCTGCTACTTTGAAATGCAGAGTAGTAACTAATAAAGAGTCAGGGCTTATTGAGTCAGGGCTCATTGCTTGTGAACCAAAAAGTGTCAGGTGTGCAAGGTCTGCAAGTTTAAGGGCTCTCAGTTTCTGAGACTTCTTTGTTGATTATAGATTTGTTTCTAGCAGCAAATCATTGACCACCTTCTTCATTCCTTGCTTACCTAAAATTCTGATTGATGTAAGAGAATGTAGGACTGAACCCCAACTATAAGCAGTATTTGAGTATATTGTACAGTACTTTCTAAAACTTGTAATTAATGTAACTGTAAACTGTTGTAATATGAATAATATATTTTGAAGGTTATTTACTTGCTAAAATACATGGAACACAAACTAGAACGCGCTTAAAATTTGTACTTTTCTTATACAAAACATTAGCATTTTAATAGTACTCCACTATTTTTTATGAGGCTTCACTGTTTACAAAGAAGGAAGACCACATCTGTGTCAGAGTATTTTTATATATGTACGGATTTAGTACAGCAGTAAAATGCTGTCTTGTATTAATAACTGTTTGTTGTTGTTTTAGTGGGAAGAAATTAGTGGACTGGATGAAAATTACACTCCTATACGAACATACCAGGTATGCCAGGTCATGGAACCTAACCAAAATAACTGGCTTCGGACTAACTGGATTGCAAAAGGCAATGCACAAAGGATTTTTGTAGAACTGAAATTCACTCTGAGGGATTGTAACAGTCTTCCTGGAGTACTGGGGACATGTAAAGAAACTTTTAACTTATATTATTATGAAACAGACTACGACAATGGCAGGAATATCCGAGAAAATCAGTATGTAAAAATAGACACCATTGCAGCAGATGAAAGTTTTACCCAAGGTGACCTTGGGGAGAGAAAAATGAAACTTAACACAGAGGTGAGAGAGATTGGAGCTTTGTCCAAGAAAGGATTTTATCTTGCATTTCAAGATGTAGGTGCCTGCATTGCTTTGGTTTCTGTCAAAGTCTACTACAAGAAATGCTGGTCTATTATTGAGAACTTAGCTATTTTTCCAGATACAGTGACTGGCTCAGAGTTTTCCTCTCTAGTTGAGGTACGAGGAACTTGTGTCAGCAGCGCAGAAGAGGAGGCTGATAACTCTCCTAGGATGCACTGTAGTGCAGAAGGAGAATGGTTAGTGCCTATTGGAAAGTGTATCTGCAAAGCTGGATACCAGCAAAAAGGAGACACTTGTGAACGTGAGTAAACCTACACTTTTAATAATATCCTACAATAGCAGGTGGGTTCTACAGTCACATTTCTATTGTCTTTGCATCAAAATATGGTATTAGGCCCATACTAATACTTTGAGCATTTGAATCTATACACTTCATACTGGCGAACTTAAATCAGTCAGCTCTTTCAGGAATGGAAGTCAACATTTGCATATTGCATTTTCAAATATAAAAGAGGCAATTCAGAGCACAGTTTAATGTAAATACAGTTGCAGAAATTACAATTCACACAGAAATAAGCTCAGGATGACATTCAGTGTAGTTCTTCGTAATGCTACTGAACAGATTGTATCTTGCTAAGAAGACCTTATTAACGTTCTTGTGTATGAGCATTATATAAACTACTTGCTGTTGTTCCATATGTTTTGTGACAGAAAATTATAAGGAAAATAAAACTCAGGATATATGGAATTTGTGCTAAAGCATGTTTATTAATGTATAGCACATACTCCAAATGAAACCTGAGCTACAAAGTTTTGAATCTGCATTTCATTCTCACTCCTGTGCAAATGCAGTAGATTTATTTATTTTAAATCTGTTTCTTTCAAACAGAATATATCAAAATATCGAGTGGCAGAATTTCAGTCAATATTTTTTACATAAAATTAATTCAGCTAGAATCTTAAAAATAAAAATTTGGGTTATTTATGGATTACATTGGGACTACTATGGAGAGCTTTTTATTTTGTATTTTCAGCATGTAGTTCATCTGGTAGTGTTAGGTTATTGGAAAGCAGTTACATTTCAGAGTAACACACAGGATTAACATTTTCACTCTGGCTAGTGAATAAAAATCTCAACGTAGTTTGCTTTTTGAAAACAATCTCTTTAGGTCTTGATGCTGTCACCTGTATTCATATACTTACTCTGCAAGTAAATGGAGCTACTTGGGTACAAAGGCAATTCTGAGCATAAGTGTGACACAATCGGGCTGTTTTGTTTACAGTGAAGGTTCTAGGATACTAGGTACTTTGTATAGTGAGTAATGGTTTCAAATATATTTAACACAGAAACTGATATGCCATCAGATTTTTCTTGTAGCGTATGATAGAAACATACTTGTCTGTTTGTAGTGCTGCAGAAAAAATGATGTAAAATAAATGTGAAAGTGAGAAAATACCAAAAAGTAAAACAATTGCAGGCATTGAAAAATCAAGGGAGTGACGTATATCTGACTTATTTTGGGGTTAAGACTAAACCCTGCAGTCAATGAGTTTAATGAGAGTTTTGTCTGTGTAAGGATTGGAAAAGGACTGCAGAATTTGGCTCATACTGAAAGGAAGAAAGCAAGCAGCGTCTGATCCTGAATCCTTAGTCTTCAGGAAATTCACATGATTGCCTTCAGCAGGGGTTTACAATGGAAGATTTGGTACATAGTTGGAGTGTGTGGAGTTGGTCTGGGATCTTTCCAGCTTTCTTTCAGCATTGTGGGGGAAGGGCTGAGTTTCTACCGTGTGGAGGGTGATCTCATTAAGAGTTATAATGTGAAAACTGCCCACAAAAATCAGTTCAATACGGTATGTCTAGGCTCTGTTAAAAGTATTAAAATCATTTGGCCCCCATCAGAGCACATTCTGAAACCTTCAAAGGCTTTCTCTGGAGACACTGACTTTTTTTTTAAGCATCTTAGTTAACTCACAGTTGATGATGTGAACCATGGATAGGTCTATAATTATCCTAATACTAATAGGATAATCCTAATACTAATAGGATAATAATACTAATTTTCTTTGACTTTCAGTAAAGGAGAGAAAGTGCCCAGCCAAAGGGAAAGTAGGGGTAAAGGGGGAGGGGGAAGGGAATCAGTGTTTGGTAATTGGAATTCAAGTAAATTGTTTATTAAATAGGCTTCTTAATTTCTAACCACAGCGATGTTGACAAAGGAATTAAATGATAACTTGTACTTGAGTTCATTTGCAAGAACATTGCCCATTTTTGGCCTGCTTCCAGAGCAATTGCTAAGAGAATACGCAACTCTGGAAGCAGTCCAGAGGCACATTGATAGGATTTCTCCACTTTTCTTTCAGTGATCTTGTTAAGAGTTTGAAAACAAACTCTGGCTCCATATTGAGGCAAGTTAATATATTGAGGCGAGAGAGAGGGTGGGAGGCAGCCACTCACAGAATGAATGCTGTTACCAGCTTGAAGTCCAAATGATCTGGGTGACTCTGTGGCTCTGTAGTAGTTGCGTTCTGTGATACTCGTTAGGATTCTCTGCACTTGAAGATGTTATTAAGTATGATCAACTATATAGTGACTGATAATGCAGCTGACATACTGATACTGTCACTGTTTTTGTGACAGATATTGAAAGAAACTTATCAGGATGTTGACACTAATGCAAGTGGCTATCTGTTACTGTCAAACTTTGAAACAGATCAAGCAGAAGCAGGTCGGTGCATGCTTCCTTAATCCAAACCTTTTGTGGTCCTTCTTAAGGACTCAAAGCTGCAAAAACCAGGCATTCTGTATTGACTTCATGCTAGTAAGCATTGGACATAAGACCCTGTCTTGATGGTTGAAAAAGATACCTTTTTTTTCTTCAATCATGGTGGCTCGATGGACTAAATTTAAGTTAACACCATTGAAACCCTGCTAAGATGCGGCTAACATGTTTGAAGATGTATTAGTTGGCTGGGTTGTAGCCAAGGGAGGATGGTTGGTGAGAGCATAGGCTACAACATAGTCATCTAATACATCTTCAGATGTGTTAGCCAGCATCCTAACCGGGCTTTTTGATTGTGTTACGCTAACTTATTTGAGCTACACTGGTTGAAAAAGTCATCTTTTTTGTCTCTCATGACATCACCAGTGAGTAAGTATTTGCAGGATCTTAAGAAACAACGTTTTATCTTTTAATTTTAATTTAGACAAATTTCACTCCCAATACGTTGGCAGAGGATATTTGTGTCATGTAAACAAATACTCTGCAAATAGTAGTAACTGATAGTGCTTATCAAAGATTAAATATTAAACTTGGGCACTAGTTTTCCCCTTGTGTTCTATCTCCAGTACCAAATCTTTTAATGTGTATCTATATATAAATGTCCTTATTTTGGATGTACATTGAATTATTCACATAATAAATTTGCATTCCATTAGCATCTTGATGCATAAACCAAGTTAGGACTACATTGTGCTAGGTACTGCACAGACGTATAATAGAAACTGTCTCTGCCCCCAAAGAATTTACAGTCCTAGTTTAAGGCAAGCCACAACAGCTAGGTGAAATGAAGTGTGTGTGGGGGTGGGGAGGAGGAGGGCGGTAGCGGTAATAACATAGGCCACGTCTGCACTATCTGCTGGATCGGTGGGTAGTGATCGATTGATTGGGGATCACTGGATGCGATAAATCAATCCCCAATCGCTCTGCTGTCGACTCTGGAACTCCACCAGGGTGACAAGCTGAAGCGGAGTCGACGGGGGAGCGGCGGCAGTCGATCCAGCGCTGTGAGGACGCGAAGTAAGTGATTCTAATTCGATCGAAGGTACGTCGACTTCAGCTACGCTATTCTCGTAACTGAAGTTGCGTATCTGAGATCGACCCCCCCCCCCACCCCAGTGTAGACCAGGCCATAGTCTTAGTTTTAGAGAGCTTACATTTTAAGGCTTGATCCTGGCAGTGCTTAGGAAATGGTGAGCCCCTAAAACATCCACAGACATACTGTTTCTGCTACTGTAAAAACAAATGGAAATGTTAGCACTTGGGAGCACTACATAGGACCCATTCCTGCAATTCTCACGTAGCCTATGACCTGTGCAGTGGGAATTTCACCTATTTTGCCTATGCAAGGACCGCATTTGGGATAATATTTGAATAACTGTGGTTTGGGGGAAAGGAGGGAAATTCTTTGTAAAGTTCTACTATAATCCACTTGCCATATCTTTCACATTATTTAAAGAGAAACTATGCCCATTTGCTCCTGAGCAGCAGTATGATATTTCAGAAGGTAGGAAGCACCTTTCAACATGAATGAACTGAAAAAATATAGGTGAAAATTAATTTGGCACCACGTCTGAAAATTCAGATTTCTGGAGTAAGCCAAACAGGTACAGTTTACTCTTATCTGCTTTGTAATACTATGTGCATTAGAAGAACACAACAGAATACAATTTGCTTATCCAAAAAATGGGAGAGGGCTACAACTTGTTATGGAATGCATGTCACTGAAGTGAAGGGTACATGCTTGATTTTTGGGCTGCACTGTATATTGTATGCAGCAACTTGCAACCTGCCACAAACTGCTACAGGAACTACTGATTTCTTTTGGGACATAAACTTTTGGAGCTAGTAAATGTGACTTGACAGAGAGGTCCAGTCTATGAGTTACGTTATATGTGACACATTTGTGATATGTCATTTTTAGTTACATTTTCAGGCATATTCCACTTCAGAATAATTTTTCTGATCAGTCTGTGTTAACACTGAGCTAATGTCGTAGCATACTGTTAGGAGGGACTGTACTGCTGGAGGAGCCTGCTTCTGAGACTTATAGATTGGCCATTAAAAATCTCATAGCACTTCTAATAAGAGTAGATTGTATGAACTGTAAATCAATGTAGAATTTGGCCCAGGGTGTCTTTCTGAAGAGTTGTGGCTAACCTGCAGTTTGGGGTAATTATCTCCTGTCTACCTAAATTCCATGCTGTTTCAGTTTTCCCTGTTCCTCTTCCTTTGCACTGCTGCAAAGGCTTATACGGAGTCAAAACCTTCAAGTCCTTTGCTGGAGTAGAGTAAGTAAGGTTGGATCCGTCTCCCTCCCAGTACTCCCAGGCACAGAGCTGTATTGTATTAGGTGGGGCATTTCAGTGTGGGGAGGAGGTGTGCTTGGAACACAATGCACTAGCTGTCCTCACCTGTCTATGGTGTGACTTCAAGCAAGTTGTAGCTAAGGCAGAGCACAGGCAATTTGTAGCTGGCTCTCTGATGGCCTCTCTCCTGTCTGCACCCAGCAAAAGCTGGA